ACAGAATCCCAAAGAAAATTCCAGAAAATCACATCATATGAATTTAAAGTTTAAAGTTTATTTATTTATTTAATCAGGACAGTGCACATTAATGAACAATCTCATACAGATTGTAAATGAGCCAGATTATAGCATAGTTGCTAGTTTACATCTGTCGTCCTGAGGCAGGAAGACCAAACAACACAAAATCACAAAATACAAAATCAGTCCAAACACACGTTCGGACAATGACATTCCAAAATTAAAATGAATTCAATTCAATTCAATTAAATTTCATTTATATAGCGCCACATCACAACAACATTTGTCTCACAGCTTTCCAAACAGAGCAGGTCAGACCCTACTCTGAAGTTAATTACAGAAACCCAACTATTCCCACCATGAGCAAGCACTGGGCGACACATGCAAGGAAAAACTTCCTTTTAACAGGCGGATTTATAAATTTATAAAAATTGATAACCATCTGATGAGGGAAAAATAAGCATTCTTTGTAAGTGGGCAAACCTGCAAAATCAGCAAGGGGTCAATTACTTATTTCCCCCACTGTATATGTGACAATGTGACCTGTGAGAGTTTTTAAAAACAGGTTATTATATCCTCACATTTTCTCCTCAAATCTTCTCATATTTAGAGTTGAGGAGCTGGTTGGAGTTCAGGTTATCTTAGATCTCCGGCCATAATTCCCTTTGTTGTCATGTTGTGTAAATTTTAGTCTAAAAAAAAAAATTGTTATTTGGCCAGGATTAACATCTTAGAGCCAACAAAGCCAGCTGTGTAAAATAATTTTTCCAATAAACCTCCATTAGGCTTGTTAAAAAAAAAAAAAAAAAAATCCATTTATGATTTGCCTGGAATCAGTTATTTTCCCACAGATTTAAGTCGGTGTGGTGTCTGTATTTGAGTGGATTATGGGGAAACTAAATGGCTGTATCAGGCCAAAGGGGGGGGGTGGGGGGTGGGGGGTGTTTCCTACCTGTTGGTAGACACAAAAGTTGTGTATTCCAGTGTTTTTCAACCCCTGTGCCTCAGTACACTAGTGTGCCGTAGAAAATCATCCTATTTCACCTAATTCGTCAAAAAAAATTTTTTGACAAGGAATTAATTATCTGCAAATAATGTGCCATTTCTGAGTGTCTGTTCTGTTCTAGTGACTGGTGGAGTAATCATGTAATAATTCCTTATGACTAGATTTTGTATATAATTTTGTATATTGAAGTGGACATGTTAAGAGCAATTTGAAAGAAGAAATATAACATATGATAAAAATACATTTTTGTGTTTATTTGATTCATATTCAAGACACTTAAGATAAGATAAGAATAACTATAGTGTCACTATAGGCGGATACAGATTTGTTTGGCATTTTTGGTTGGTGGTGTGCCTCGAGATTTTTTCAATGAAAAACTGTACCTTGGCTCAAAAAAGGTTGAAAAACACTGGTGTATTCAATGCCAAAACACACAAAGAGCCAGGTCTGAGTTTAAAGGAATTTAGCCCGGAGCCCCCAACCTGTCGGGCATTGGGGGGTAAACCCGTCTTTGTTGAGCCACATCTGGTCTGGACTAAAAACAGGATTGCACTTGGATTTGCGGCGGTCGCTTATCTTTCCGGGGCCGATTTAAAGGGGATTTGTCCGTCTTAGGGGTTTCGGCTTCACGTCATGTTTTTGCCTCATGTCGTTAATTCGCCGGAGTCTGAACAACAAGGATTCGGGGGTATGTAATGTGTATATAATTAGCCACCTGAGAACAGCCACATAAAAAGCCATTACCGTGCAATTACCACTCCGTACAGCTGGGGAATGGGATCTGGGATTCCAGGGAGGCTCAAAGTACACATTTCCTCCCGCTATTCCACATGTTGGGTCACAGTCGCTTTTTCCGAGATGCCTCCGAAATTGTTACAGTGGGGGAAATAAGTATTTGACCCCTTGTTGATTTTGCAGGTTTTCCCACTTACAAAGAATGCAACGATCTATAACTTTAATCATATGTACATTCTAACAGTGAAAGACAGAATCCCAAAGAAAATTCCAGAAAATCACATCATATGAATTAATAAAAATTGATAACCATCTGATGAGGAAAAACAAGCATTCTTTGTAAGTGGGCAAACCTGCAAAATCAGCAAGGGGTCAAATACTTATTTCCCCCACTGTATATATTATCTTCTTTTTCCCTGTATATAGCTAGGTCTTAGTTATAGAAAACATGTTTATTGTGCAGGAATAAGGTCTTAGCTCTGTTACACTGGTAGCCAAGTAATCCACATTTCGTTGTATAGATTCACCTTGTGTTTTTTGTGCAATGACTATAAAGGAAGTCTAAGTCTAAGTCTAACTATACGGCCAATAAGCATTCTTTGTAAGTGGGCAAACCTGCAAAATTAGCAAGGGGTCAAATACTTATTTCCCCCACTGTATGTCAGGTCAGGGCTGACTCGTAAACATCGAGCCGGTGACGTTTGAAAAGGCCCATTTGTGCGATTTGATTCAGAAAAAAATGCGAAAAAGAGAAGAGAGGCTTTGTGGTCTGAGGTGCCTC